TGTAGACAAGTACATGCTCAGTTATTTGTCACCATTTTGAGAACACTGCCAAAATACTCACCAGAGGTAGGCTTTTAAAATTAATCGTCCCAAGGCTATCCTTGTCACCCTCAGCCAGCCTCAGGTACAAGCCTGCAGCCCTGGTGCCTGTACAGCAAGGAGCAGAAGCAAACGTAATTTCATACAAGAAGCATGTTAACGTTTTATCGTTCATGGGTGAGAGAAGTGATTTTTTTAACCAAGTGTTGTTGAACAGTTGTGGGAATCTATTTTAAAGTTTACTTTGCACCTACAGTGAAAGTGGAAAAGTAGGTCTGAGCACTTTTTTGCACAGGGCAATTGACTTCAATAACTATTCTGATCCAAATATTCCCTATCAGTTCTGCAATGGACAGTGCTGGAATAAAAAAAAAAAAACAAAAACAAAACCAAAAACATTCAGTTTTGGAAATACAGTAAATACTGTGAAACAGGGTAATTTCTTTTCTGGAAGGAATGCTTGTTTAGGAAATTTTTCTAGGCAATTTTCCTGGATAAGTGAACTCAAAGAGTTTAATCATACAGTCTGACTTGGTTGATGACACAACTCAAACATCGTGCCTGGCATAGTGGCATCCTTCCAGTGCCCAGTGCTGCTTTGAGCAGGATGTTGGACTAGATGACCCCCTGAGGTTCTTTCCAACCTGTATTATTATCCTGTAAGCACACATCTTGCAAACCTATACATTATTTGGCTCAATGATTTGAAGAATAAAGTCAAAGAAAAAACAGTTAAGACCTGGTCAACAGCTGTTTTGAAACAAAGAGAACTAGATAACAAAAAATGTGTCACTGTTAGCTATGTGGGAAATAAAGAGAAAATAGACATTTAGGTTTACAGTTCTAAAACTATTTTAGCAGTGAATATGTTTAAGCTGCATGTGTTGAAAAAAACAGAGAGTAAAGGGGAAGTTTGCAATTCCCAGGACACGGGGTTAGGTTCTTATTTATAGCAACATATTTTACAGACTGCTAAGCATTGACATTAGCAGCCACTCTGATGTTCTCTGAATGAAGAAAGGAAATTCAGGTGGAAAGCAGAAAAACTATTAGTAATACTTTTGACTGCAATTGTTTTTGTGGGGGCTAGGCTAAAATAGTCCTTGGGTTTTGTTATTTGTAATATCATATACATACACAGAAGACTGAGACTTTACCTAGAGGCAGTCTAACATGTTTAGTATTTTTCTTCCTGATTTTAATTATAACACCACATGTTTTCAGCTTTGGGAATCTGTTCATTCCTAAGTGGGTTTTATTATTCTCCAGCATTGACCAGCACTGATGTTAATGTTCCCATTAAGATGCTGCTGCCTCTGTAATTCTGCTCACTGAAAGAACTGTGTATATGTTTCCCAGTCCATTTCAGGCAAAGCCACCAAAGTTAATTTACAAGTGTTGATTTGAAGACCCCTTGAAATAAATTATCTCATCTACATTCATATTTTTTTTTTAAATAATCCATAGGCCTTCGTGTAACTACAGATGAGAGGCTTGTGCACTCTTTTTCTCAGGGCACATCCAATAGCTTCAGGGAAGTGATGTCTTACCTGAAGGTGCTGTTTGCAGATCCAGGAGAGTCTATGATCCCAGGATAAGAAATGGCCAAAGCATCTGAAGAGAAGCTATTTAAGAGAGGAAGAGAAGAAGGGTCTGAAGGAATCTTTAGTTGCCGCCTTCTGGAAAGTTATTCCTGCCTGGGCTTGTTTTTTCAAAAGAAGCACCTCTTCACAGGAAGGCCCGTGTGAGCTTTATGTCCCTTGAGATTCCAGCCATGCACTTTCTTAAGAATTCAGAGGAGTGAATGCTGAGATTTTAAGAGGAGTATTAAAGTCTAAATCCCACCTAACTACTGTGAAGATTCAGCATTAACCTTTTCTAGCCAGCTTACTGCAATGTGTGACTAAGCACCACTAATAATTGTAGGTGAAATAGTGGTTAATTGTATAAGTGATCATGTCTTGTAGGGCTTAACTGCAGCACCCAGTCCCTGCTTTGCCACAGAAAAGAAAATCAGAATTGTTAAATAGACCTGTTTGACAAGAAAATAGGGTTGGCATATTGGTATTCTTTAATTTCTGCATTTTAAGTGTATTTAGGACTGGGCAAATCGGGAACAGCACATGGCAACAGTGGTACCTGTTTAACTTGTCCTATTCAGCCGAAAAGTTTTCAGTCCTGAAACAGGCAGATTAAATATGCAAATGTAAAATTCATTCCTGGGTGTAAGGCCAGCAAAAGGTCTGGTGTGGGAATTAGATGTTGAATGAGCACTCAGGGGAGGAGGAACCGATCTGTCGTGCCGTACCAAGGTGTGCTTGAGACTACATTGTCAAATTAGTTTTCTTATTCTCTGCATTGGAATGAGTGTTACGGCACGGGTGGAAGAAGCCGAATAAACACAGTAGAGACAGACAAGGATGTCCAAAAACCTTCACTATTTCAGATCACACACTATGGAAGCTTAGCCTACAAATTCAACCAAAATGCATTTTTCTTTTCTTTTTCTTTTGTCTTTTTTCACAGTGATGTTCTACTGTTTCTTTCTAAAATCAGTTGAAGTCACATGCTGGGTAAGCAGTAGTTACTAGATTCTTATCACAAACATTTTCCATAACCATTATGAAAGAACGATCCTCTCTACAGACAGTTGGGTTTTTCTCAGTGGCAGTGTAAGTTTAGGGTTTTAAATCCCCAAACCTACAACAAATGGAGATTTGATGACAGAAAATCTAATTGGATGCTTTTAATGCCAAAAGGAGCAACATTGTACTATCGAGATGATTAGTCCAGTCATTTTTCATATGAGCTTATTAAATTTGTCTGTATTTGAAATTACCTAAAGCCACAGTGGCATGTCAAAACTGGAAGCACTATGGAAAACTGTATCTGGATCTTGTTTTTATGAGAGGACAATAGCCTTGAATAACCTCGAAAACAGTCCTAATTTATGAGGTTTGTTATAATCTGAGAAAGAGAAATACAGAGTTTTCTGTCCTGGAGCTGCAGAGAGTGTCATTGAATTACTGTGGTACTAGCTGGGAATTACTGTCACGTTAAGTTAGTTTTGTGCCATGACTTTAAGTTAGTTTTATGAATTGGACCTTTGTTATTTAGGAGGCCAGCATGGGAAGCACCGGGACTGTGGTTAGTCATGCTCATCCATATTTTACTGTGACTGTTAGGAAGTCAGTGTTCCAGCCAGTCATAAAGGGTGGCAATTTCCACGCTTACAAACCTAATTCTTCGTCACAACTGCCTAGATCTGAAAAGCCAATGGCAATCAGCTGTGCTGATTAGGTTAGATCAGTTAGCCAGTGCAGATGTATTTATGGAATAAAAAGATAATAAAAAAACATGTTAAGACAAGAGAGCTTTGAAATGGCTGTGCCCTTCAGCCTGTGTGAAATGTATTTCCTGTGGGATAGTCATATGAAAATAGGTGTCTTGGCAGTTGAGATGGGCAAAACAAGCTGCTTTATAGCAGCTGTGAAGGGAGTTGCTAGTTTTTAACTGGAGAAGGTAGGCGTTTGGTCCAGAATGGTTCACCATTCCTCTTTCTCTTTGCTACTAGTAAGTAACCCCTTCAAACCCCTTTGTTTCTGTGCCATAGAAAGCTTCTGAAAGACAGGCAGCCTTGTTTGAGAACTGACCTTTCTAAGGCACCAGCTGCAGCTTCACAAACTATTCCAGCATGTGCATACTTCAGCATTACATCAAGCAGCAATGTCAGCAAACACCAACATGACAGAGAGCAAGGGAAGCAAGAGAACCGTGCTTCTGAAAGCTTGCCTGGACGGCAGAGGGTAGTTCAGCTCAGACTGTAGGATGCCCTTGCAGTGAGTCTGAGAGGACTGGCCCCAGCCAGGCCTGGCTCCTTAAAGGTTGGCCAGGCCGGTCATTTCCAGTGCTGGAACTACTGTGTGTGGAGGGTGACTGACTGGGTGTGCCAGCACTTCCAACAGGATGCAACAAGGGACCAAACTTTACAGCATCTGCGGATGCCACCAAGAGCAAAACCAAGCTACGTAGCATGAACACAATCCCTTGCTGGATCTCTGCAATGAGCAGCTGCTGACTCCCACACAAGACTTAGCAGCAAGGGACTTAAATGTACATGGAGTGCAGTCAGACTGTACAGGAGCTGGCTGCAAGCCAACATCGTATCTGGGAAGAATTTCATGGCCTATTTCAAAACTACATTTTTTGAAGTTTGAAACTGCTTTTATTCTCCTGCAGAACAAAGAGGTGGCAAAAAGTATGATGGCCAGGAATATCCCCTTCAAACATTACAATTGTCCAGTATCCTAGTCAGCAACATGGAGGTGAAAATGCAGCATGTAGTTCAGAAACACAGGCTTTAACAAAGTTGCCATGCATCCATTTAAATGTGTGCAAACTCCATGGCATGGATACATGAAAGACGAAGCATGGAGAAGCACAGAGGAAACTTGCTTTTGAGTAGAGAATCAAGGCTCAGATCAGGTATTTGAGAGGAACTGAATAATCAGCAGATGCAATCTGCGTGGTGTACACAGCCAGCATGAAAGCTTAATCTGTCACTACTGTGAAGGCAAGACAGCTCTCCTTCCTCAAATAATGACCTGCATGACACTCACTGCATGGGGTGGACATGCAAGTCATCGCTCAGAAAAGCTCGGTGCTACATTACGTTTTCTAGGGAACACACAGAAGTATTACTGGCTACGAACATCATTCCTCTTTGCTAAAATGCAGCACTCTTCCTCAGCTTAGGAGAATAAATTAGTGGTGTTTTTGTTGATGTCCAGTCATGAAAAATAACTTGAATAACCTAGACAACCTCTGGCCAAAACAGAATCTTTGGGGTGTTAAAGAAAAAAAAAGTCTTCAAATGAAAGCAAGTTCTCGTACAACAAAACCAGTGCCGCTATAAAACATGTGTTGCCCAAAGGTCATCATAAAACCAGAACCAATCCACCAAGCTTGCAAATAAAAATGCACAGAAACACACAACCTTGCTAAGTTACTGCTATTTGAGGGCTTTTAGGTCAGTCACAGCTTCACATACTCTGACACTTTAGATTACAAGAAACAAGTCAGTGCTATTCATCTCATCAACGGTCTGATATCAAAGTTATTCTATTGGGTTTCTTTTGGAGGGTATTACACATTAAAATAGTTTCTAAAAATCTTTGAAACTATTCTGTATATCAAAGGTGTAATTTTACTTTAAAACATGAGTACTTAGGAGAAAGAGCTTAAGCTCCCTCATTTGATTAACCTATTTTGCTCCCTATGATGGAGCCTACAGAACCTTCTCGCATAAATCTGTGGAAACACAGTGAATAATTTGGTTTATAGAAGCTGCTCCTCTACATTAGAATGCTTATAACATGAAACAGAACAACTTTTATTTTATATTGGACCAGTTTTTTGTGCCAGTGTTTATATTCTGAGATAATTCTGTGTAACTTAATCAAAGCTAACGTTTTTCGCCTGCTTCACAGGTTGATGCAGAAGGAACAGAGGAGGTTGTTTTTCTGGAAGTCTGCAAGACAATTGACTCTCTTCTGAAAAAGGAAGAGGCAGCATTTTCTTCAACAGAAATGCAGTAATGGTTTGTACACAGCCTCACCTCCCGTGCACTTCGCAGTGACAATTAAAATGCTGTTCAAAGCAGTACTGCTTTCTTGAGAGGTATCTGGAATTTGTGCATGTGGTATGTTATTTGAGATGAAATCTTTTTTCTCTGTTCTGACAATACACTCAATAGAAAGTGGTCTGTATGCTAACTCTACACTAAGAATTTATATTGTTTTATTGGTTGGTTGCCCCTCACGGGTTAAAAGCAGCATGGTGAACAGCAGCCCTGGTTTGTATTTCATGATCTCATACATTTGATGGGAAATCAGAGAGTGCCTGGCAGCAGTGAGCTCTTCAACCACATCATTCACCATTCAGCATATTAAGATTACTGCATACAAGTTTCCTATTGGTTATTATTTTCTTTTAATTAACAGTATTAATTTTCGTGGTGTCACTTAGCTTGTTCTTGGGCTTTAGTGACTAAAATCTGTTCTCCGTTACATGCAGCTGTAAGACAGCTGGAATTAGTCAAGCTAGAAGTTAAAATATGTTTTCCACACATCCCCAGAACATTATTACAAGAAGCAGCAGAAAAATTAACTAAAGGTGAACATACGGTTGAATATTGTGAAAGTCTGTTGATCCACTGTCGTGGAGCAGACACCATTTTTGAGACAGCCTTGTCTTCTGCTGGGAATTGTAGGATATTATAAATGACTTCCCAGATTTGTGAGCTGTGGTGAAAGTAATGATTGTATTGTATAGTTAAATGTGCAATCCAGTAATTACCCATATTAACAGAAGTTTTACTATATTAACTGAAGTCTACATATAAAGTTGACTATGAGCCAGAATGTATGAAGAGGTCTTTAAATCATTCTTCAGAACTATTTCAAATGCAAAATTCAGATCATCATCTGTTGTCTTGTACTGGCATTGGTAAAACTTGGGGGGGGGGGGGGGGGAACACCACAAAACCCCAACCCAAAAGAGGAAATTGTCAGGGATTGATTCATATTGCTTCTGTAATATCCATATCTGCACAAAAGTCTGTAAAAGTCATACTGTATTTCCATTATGTTAACCAAAATATTGTGGAGTTTTTTTGGTACACTGATAGCTAAATAAAAGCTTGTTTGACATTCCTACAAAGTAATTGCATCCTCTTACTGGAACTACTGGATGAATTCACAGTGGGTTGCATGATTGCTTTTACTGTCAAAGTTGTACTTTATGCGGCAGATTTGTATTTTTAAAGTTACCTTTCTTGTAATGAAGACAAAATACAAATAAAACATGTACAAAAATGAGGAGTAATGATTTCTGTTACAGTATATGTGGGTTTAATCCTTTTTAAAGCACAGTACATGACTTGAAAATATAGCTCAAATCAGCATGCTTACAGAATATGTCCTTTTTCCATTCAGGGCAGATTCTTCTGTTTTCTTTTTCTTCCTTGGCATTTGCCCTGTAAATGCTAATTCAATTATTTTTAAGGGACTGTTTTAGGTATGTTCTTATCCTTCATATCCTGGATGTTCCTTCTTTCCTGGATCCTTTTATAGCCTACATTTTACCTCTGATGCTCTAGGAAGTGCTGCTCCAGCTCCAGCCCAGTGCCATTAAGTGACCAGTAACATCTGCAGTACAACAGCTTTAAGGAAGAGACTTTCAGAATGCATCAGCTTGAGAAGGCAGGTTGTTCTAAACCGAGCCTTGAAGCACTAGCAGCTGTCTGGTGTAGTATTTTTGAGAGAAAAAATGTAAAATACTCTGGAGTTACCATGAAGCTAGAAATTCATCTGGATAGGTTTTCTGGAGTATTTTTTTATTACTTCTAATTGCAATAGAAGTTAAAAAGAGTGGAGTATCATACTTGAGTAGGATGGGAACAAAGGCAACAATGAGCTGCTAATTTTTTTTTAAAAAAGATCAAATTACAAAAATTATTTAACGTACAGCTTCAGTTTAATTTTTCTTTCTGCTTCTTCTGGTCTTCTCTGTGGAAAAAACAAAAAAAAATTCCCAAGCTTGATTGGGTGTATGTGCATTAGATACCTATTTGCGTATGGTCATAATGTATGCAAGAGAAATAGCTGTATATGCATGCATATGGAAATATAAATATTTATACATATTCAATAAAAAGAGGACTTATCCAAGACACTTCTTTCTTGAGTGATTCAGACTCAAAATTTTCCTTCCTTCCAATCTCATTCAAATTACACCCTGGCTTTTTGTTCTTCCCAAGCTATCCTAAATTGATGACTGAATATTTTCACTAATGTACTTTGGTTATTTCCTTCCAATAATTTTTGGGGGATATCAACGGAAAACAATTACTATAGATTCTCTCCCTGATAATAAACCTTTACCAACTCTAGTTTCCTTGAAACACCACAAATGATGTGGAAAGCATTTTTTTAGAGTATTAGAGAGCTTCTCGGAGCAGTATCTTTTCCAATTAAAACCCAAAAAAACATCATGTGAATTTTTGTGTTGCATTTTTTACGGTTTATTAAATTTATCTAAGTATACTAGATACGTGAGATATGTTTACATATGATACTTGCTCAGTGTTTTAGTAACTGTACTGTACTACCTTCTAAATAGATTAAATGCTTTAAACTTTTTTTCTGAAGCAAAAAATAACTACACCTAAAGTTATTGCAAAACTTAATACTGATCAGTTTATAATTAAAGTTACTAGGTGCAGTCAGTCAATTAATCCTTCTTATTGCCCTCTTTTTAGGTCAAATTAGTTACTTTTCTAGCTAATTACTCAGTATTCAAGTTTCAAAGCAACTGGAAGCCTATTACAGTTACAAAATAATGAAGTGTTTCTGAATCACAAGCTATACATTTCAATAGAAAATATATTAACTAAAATATGTCACAATAATTACAAAGCTTCTCAGACAATGGTATACAGTGTACCAAGGCTACTAAAATCTGAATTTTCTGTGATCTGAAGAAGAACAGTCTGTGAGTAAGATATGAGAAAACTAAAATGCTAATCCTGCAAAAGGCGAAGCATATTTTAGTAGGCGCAGAGCACCATCAGTTCCCATTGAAATAAACAGCACAGGAAGGCGCTGGGCATCTTGCAGGTCTGCATAGTGAATATTTGTATGAAATATTAAAATGTCCTTTCAACGTTTTCCATCTTGATTAAAAAGTCAAAACTACACAGAAAGGAAATCACAGCAAGCATTCTATATATAAACAGACTGTATCCACATAGTTTATTTCTCACAGTTCTCCTGACAATTGAACATTATTTAAGAACATACTGTATACACAGATAAGAAGAAACATACAAAATGTTTTAAATGATGCACAACAAAATCCAGCAGTATAAAAGAATGCATGTGAACCCTTGCTCACTGCTCAGGCTAAATTTAATCACTGTTTAAATAGTAATAAAAATACAATCTTTCATGGATCTTGTGCAGACTACAAAAGAGGAAAAATTATTACCATATATATGATTTATATTAGGCAGTTCTCTTTGATGAGTTGCACTAACAACTCCAAATACAGAGGCAGAAGGCTGTGTATTTTATTTTAAAGGAGTTAATGTTGAGTATTAGAGACTTTACACAGTTACTACCACTGGCACTTTTCACCATATTTTGTACACATCACATGATCATCTTATATAACATTACATTTAAAAAATATATCTGAGTGACAATTTTATAACATTCACACACCATGAGCTGGTTAAGGAAGCAATGCCACAGTTGCCCCCTGTAGTGCTTCACTGTTGGTAAATAGAGTTCATCGTGGTTTTTTTTAAAAAAAAAAATAAATTTAAAAAAAATTAAAAAAATTGAAAGTCAATGTGAATAAGCAGCTCCGATTTAATAAAGGCCTGTAACCAACCACCGCTGAGACAGTGAGTATTTTTTTTAGAGTACATCCTAGAAGCAAACACTGTCATTGGTTAAAACCTTGCCTAAAGAAGTCAGTTACTGTGCTGAAAACTATTTCACAACAAAACTGCAAGCTACTAAACTGTTTTTATATAAATACTTCATCTCCTCTGGATCTCATTATAACCAAGTTCTTCAAAGCCTTTGGAATTTACTCTATCTTTAATGTGTGCTCTCATTTCTGGCTCACCCTTTTGTATGTTTTTCTTTTGTGTTTAGATTCACCACCTAAAAATGACTAGTGTGGTGAAAGAAAAGTCTCCCAGTGAAACCTTCTGCACACTAGGAATGTTCAGCTGCTGTTCAGTGATCTAGAACCATGACAGCTCAAAGCTGTAGTTTGACAAGTACACCCAGGAAGCTGTCATGCTGTGAGCGACATTTCAGGGAAAGCAGAGTCTTTCCAAAATGTGCACAGAATTAACAATGGTGCCATTGTTATTTTTCAAAGAGGATAGTAAGCCCAAGATGGTAGATCTGCTTCCCATGTCATCTATTTGCTGGAAAGTAGTTTGGGTCAAGATAATTGTAACTGGTGCCCTGGGACATGCAGTAGTCTCTGTCTAAAAATGTCTCTGCTCTGTAAATAGGTTCTAACTGGTGATCTTCCTTATGAATCTCTGTTTCATGCAGACTGCAAGGGAAAGAAAAAGATAACAGTTTAAAAGTCAAATATTTGCTTTAACTTTCAGAAACAGTGATATTAGCAGATTCATATGAAATTTGATACCAATTAATTCATAAAGTACAACTTTCCCCACTATTTTAACAGTACCAAACCTATCTGTCCACTGTATTAAGAAAAAAAATCTTATACACCCAGAACATGCTTACAAAATATGTCTCCCACAAATACATCCTAAAGTGTCTTCCACTTTACCCAACACAGGATACATGTCCTATTCAGGAGCAAAGATTTCCAACATACACAGCAATTAAGACACACAGAAAGATTCAAGCTAATTACAAATAACCAGTAGAAGCGTATGCTGCTCACCAGTCAGAACAAGAGTCACAGAAATCCAAGGACATTTCTTGAGGGCAGTCTTGGCAGTGCCACCGAACACCCTGGATAGGTTCAATTCCGCAGTTATCACACTGTGAAGCAGATGGAAGAGCACTGAAAAACCAGCAACTGTAACCACTTACGTCACTAACAGTATACACCAATATACCATATAGAAAGGCATGTATGTAGGTTGATTA